ACACACACACACACACACACACACACACACACACACACACACCAAAAATCAAAATGGGCTAAATATTACTAGCGCGTCAAGGTGTGTTTCTAAGGTTGCTGTTTTTGCTGGTTACGTGTCGCTGTTTTTATTTTTCATTTATTTAATTGCCTTAAAAATCTAATTCTGTCTCCACCCTAAAATGAAAAGCCCCGTCAGCTGATTTTTCTGCAATTTTCACCTAAACTAATACTCTAGAAGTATCACATCCACAACACGGAACCAGCATCCAAACTGAAGAGCATTTATCTCTGTACAGTGTTTCAGGTAACAACACAGCGCATGGCCCAGTGACAGGTCGAGTTCGAGAAACAGGCATGAGCCATAATACAAACAAAATATATTTTCTGCTGGAGAACAACGGATAAAAACCTAAATGAAAACCTTCCTAGAATTCCTACATTGGCAACAACTAATGAATACTCTAATACTGAAGCCTTTGAGCGAAGCAAGCAAGAAAAACCAAATAAACCACTGACACGAGCACCCCTCCCCCCGACTCCTATAAGGTAGATAACATATGGCAATATCAAATCCAGGCATTTTAACGTGCTACATGCAGTTCAGCTCCTGTTCTACTGCCCCTCATCACTGCCAGTCAGCAGATGAAGATGTGGGCAATATGGCAGACGAGCAACACGTCTGATGATGAAGGGTGGTGGTGATGGTGGGCTGGTGGGGATAACAGGCAAATTTAATAATTGTCACACCAAAACCCCATTTTCTCCCTCATAACGCCGTCCAACTTATCACGTTTTATCACTCTGGGTGTTAGTGTAATGCAGTATTGCCAGTGTGGGTAGAGCCAGGTAAATAACCGGGCTTCCTTTGTCATTTGGGGAGGATATGGAGACAAAAAAGCGAGAGAGAACGCTTGTGAGAAACAGGCCAATGCAAGGACACCAACTGTAGGTAGCCCATCTAACACATTGAAGACTTATCGATGGACTCATTACACCCTGAGTGCATAAGGCAAACCAAGGCTACATCTCTTTGCGTCTTTCTAGTTTCGCTCACGGACGCACGCGTGCGCGCGCGCACACAGATATACACTTGACTTCTTCCTGACGCGTTTCTTCTCTCATTTGTCTCAGCACTGGCTCCAATAGTCTCTCTACCCCCTCTCTCTCTTTCTTTCTCTTCCTCCCTCCCTCCTTTCTCCTCTCTATTCCCACACAATGCATCACACTCGGTGTTCCTATCGACTGGCTTACATGCTGTAAAATACATTTTCCAGATTGATCACGCATATCACAGCAGCTTTGCAGCGGGGCCTAACCCTTTTGCCAAATGACGCCCACATCAATATTGAGGCAAGCACTATCAAGGCAGGGTTTTTAAGAACGGGGTAGATGGGGAATATTGTTTGGTTTGTGGAGAATCACCTTGATTAAGCCACGGGAGGAAGGACAGAGGTGGCTCTGTGTGGTGCGCAGGCTTCCCTTGCTGTCTGGGAAAAATATTAAACATTAATGCGCTCACAGGCTAGCAGAGAGCTCACGGCTGTAGTTCCTCACGTATAGTCTCCCTTCCGTTGCATCCGCACTGCCAGTTATGTCAGTGGGTCTGTTAAAAATGTAAGGCATGCGTCCTTTTGTGTAATTACCACACTAAATTCGTGCATCATCTCCTTTTCACTGTCAGGCAAAATAGAGGCGAAAAGTATTTTGTGTTTCTGACTCAGTAAATGAAGGGATATCTTGCGGGGTTTTTTTCTCTTATAGAATCTAACAGCGCACAGAGATAACATATTCCCCCAGATGGTATAAAATAAGCCACAGCATCTTGACATTTGCTTGTAGGAAAACGCTTGAGAAGGAGACATCGTTGCCTATTTCTTTTTTAATAGTACAGTCACCATCACACAACTTCATCAACCGACCCTTCTGCAAAAAGCTGCATCATGGAGTAAGCAAATTGAAGGCAACAACCAATAAAATTCAAGAAACAATGAAAATTTTCAAGACGAAACAAACAAAATGTATTTGAAATGATATATTAAAAGTGCTTTTGATTTTCATGTCTCTCCTCTGTGACTGATGATCGACTCCACACGCACTTATGGTCCGGGTAAAGGCGCCCCAGACGTCCTGGAGTAAAAATGTCAGTAAAAATGTCCTGGAGGTCAGTTTGCTGCTGTTGCAGGTCCATCGTATCAATTGGGAAAAAGTTCAACCATCAGTGGTGATATTGTCATAGCGATTAGACTGTTTCTTATTTGTCTAAATTTCTTTATTTTTCTGTTTTTAAATTCTCACTTCAATTTTAATTCTTGGAGAACATAGCTTCGACAACATATATCGCACTCATTATAAGAAGCAAAAAGGTTATATCAAAAAATTATTAGTATAGAATCACAGAAACCCTGGTTTAGAACCAGAAATAATACAAAACAGAGAGGTACATAGACACAGGACAATTCTTATAATTGCTTGGAAACATTATTTTCCCGCTAAGTCTTGATTCTTTTTTCTTACTGCGCATATGATGTTTTTCATTTTATTTGTATTTTTTACAAAAAAGTAAAATAAAGACTAGTATTTTACAAAATGAAGAGTTTTGTTCTTGAAGATGAGAGTGGATTTACACAGGTGTAAAGTCCAGTTCCAATATTTTTCTGTACATAATGTATTCCATCACAGTCCCAGAAGACAGAAAAAAAGTAATGTCTTCCAAGTTTCTCAGAAAAGGTCCTATATATAGTCTTCTTGAAGGAGGATGGGGTGAAGGGTGCTGAATTTTGGTCCTTTTTTCCTTTCTTTTTTTCCACTTTCATATAAGGATCATTGGATGGACATGTAAGGCCAGTTGAAGCTGCTCCCGGATAATAGCATATCCCTGATGAGGGTTTCAATAGGAGTTTTACCTACCAAACGCACGAAGAACAGCTGCTCGATTACCGAAGAGGAGACGGTGCGCAGAGAGGGCAGCCGCAGCAGCAGCTTCCCAAAGCGGCTGGGCTGGTTCGGGTACTGGCTCCTCACATACTCCTCCAGGGCGCACTGGGATTTCTCCTGTAGACTCTCGATGTGAGCAGCGTCCGACAGGCCGCAAGCGTCTGAGAAAGACACACACACGCACACACACACACGCACACAATACACTGTGGTTAGAGTCCTTATTTCTTTAGCCCCGGGCTACAAAACGTTGTGGAAAAAAAGTGCCTGAATCTGATATCGAGGAACAAAGTCAAACAATAACTGAAAATGTATGATTAAAATTATATTCCAAACTATGTCAGGCCGCCAAGCTTGGAGAGAAACACACAGGCGAAAGAAAAAGTGTTCTCAAACCCACGTAGGCCTACATTTTCTTTGACAAATTATTTTTAAAGGCGCACAAATCAATTTATATTGCCGATATATTCGCTGACATTTTCTCCACAGAGTACTGAACACAAAGGCACATGGTTACTTTTTGCCCCAAGTGGGCTTTGGCAAGTGCACACCTTGCCATACCTAATTCGTGTCCCGCAAAAGCGCTCTGGTTATCATTCAACACCCGCCATTATGTGTTATTGACAATGTGGAATGAACAAACATGCTGCCCAAACATGCTACATCACACTGAGCGAGTGGGACTGTTATAGCCCAGAAAACAAACAGGGGACTTGCTGCTGCAGTAGGGGATGCACAATTCGGAGGACGATGTCGCTACCTTTCTTTGAACCAGTCACCCGGAATATATTTCTAAATGTCATTAAACCTATTGCAGACATATAAAGTAAGAAGTGGCGGGCATCATGGCAAAAGACGAAGGGTTGGCTACAGGGCTAAAGGCCCCTGCTCTTAATGTCTGGGCTCTGGGGATTCAAGTATAAGGAAACATAAACGGCACTGATGAATCTGAAATTACACTAGATGTAATGTGACCTAATTACTCTGTAGTAAGCTGCTAAGTGATTTCGCCGCTCTTCTCTCCATAGACCACTCTTGGCCTGTTTTTCGATGGAGCCTATAGGACAGGGCCCTAAAAGCAATCAAATTTATTAGAGGAGGTGAAGTCAATAGTCACACAGAAGCGACATAAAATGTCAGAAAATGAGTCTGTGCACAACGTAGGCGAGACGTGTTAGGTGGTAACTGGTGGGATATGCAGCCACGCTTCAGTACAGACAAAGGCAAATAAGGCTTGAATCAGTCTTATTAGTGTCTTATACGTTTTAATCGCTTGTTAAAAAATCTGATTTTTTCACAATCCGGGCATGCGTATTGCGCTGCTTATAAACGTCTGTAAACGCAAACAGCGTAACCGCTCTCATATATATCCCACATGAAGGCTAGGTTGTCCTTAAAAGATCTCGTAGAAAGCCGTGCTTTTGTGGAAACTACTAAAGAATGAGAGCTTTAGTTTTAAGCACTATATATTTAGCGCTGGAAGACACTTTTAAGCCTATGCTTAATTTCTCAGTGTTATAATTCACTATGGCCAGACACAATAACCTTATGAACCCGAGGCCAACGCTGAGATCTCGGGGTGATTTACTGTGACCCTTGTCCGGCCGGTCAAAGCACCATGTATGCAAATCCCCTTGGATTAACGCTGAGTGTCCCTTTTAAAATCTACAGCAATCAATGCGGCTGAAGTTAATTACATTAGGAAATATCTAGTAAAATCCAGTGCTTGGCATGAATTTTGCAATGCAGCCATATAAGGTGTTCAAAGCATTGCGGAAAATATGTTTTATATGAACGTATGCGTGGAGAGAAAGCCGGTCAAAGACACCCCATAGCTCCCCATAAGGCCCTGTCTGCAGCACTGCACCCCATAACCTCAATAGACTGGGACACAGGAAAAGATAGCTTCCAGATACACAAACGACTATTTCACTGAGTTAGCAAAGGCACACACACACACCACAGTGTGCACATGTGGATAAGGAGTTAATGCAACACAATGATCCTGAACTCTTACGGAATAGTTTAGCCTGACCACTATTATTTATGCATCAAATACTGACAAGTCGGGCGTTATTAAAGGCAAACAATCCACGCTGATCTTGGCAAAGTGCCACATGACTTTCTATAGCCGACACCAGTTGTAGCCTATCAAACTAACTAAATGATCTGTTAGAAAACATGGAGGATGTTAATGTGTGTATGGAGTTTCTCTGGGTAATCTGGGGTGAATTACTGAAACGCTGTGCACTAAAAGGATATAGTCAGCTATGTCACTGCACAAAGCTACATTACAGGATGTGTGGGCTAATATTGAGCAAAGCGAATCTAAAAGGCTGTGGTATTACCTAAAACGGTAACAGAGACCAAATACGTATTGTTTGTCTTAAACATATATTTACTTCCCAGTGGTCCACCAAAAATTGGCGTATCAAATTAACCAAACTGTCAAAGCCCCAAACTGAAGTAGTTATTATGACTTCTGAAACTAAAAATATAAACAATTACTAAGTTCTCCAAGTGTAGGAAAACCTATGTGGTAATGTTTTCACCAAAGAGGAAAAGTAAAAGTTGACGGCGGTTTCGTAGCTTGGAATACAAACTCTGTGCTCCTTTTGTTTAACTTCAGTGAGCACTGAACTTTTTGGGATAATTTAAATCCTCATAATACACACTGTGAGATATTTTAATATCATGTGCGAAAATTTTGTGATAACATAATAAAAAAATAATAGAAAGTAATATATGATAATAAAATAATAAAGTAATGTAATTAAATATAAAAGAACAGAATACAGCCATAATATAATTTAATATGGAAACAGTAAAGGTAATATACGTGTGAAGTTTTAGCTCTCTCAGCGAAGATAATTTAATAATAAATAGGCCAATTATCACTGAAACACACTGAAAGACAAGTGTAACCCCTTTCACATTAAAATGTTATGCCGCTTTCTAGGGATAATGAATGTGCCAATTATTTTAATATAAAGCCAAATCTGAAAAGCACAGCAAAACTGAATATTTTATTATGAGCATGCGCAATTATAGATAATATGTAACTTAAATGCAGAATTTTGGGACGGGCCAAGCGTGAGAAAATGAGGTCAAAACTTTGAGGTAAGTTCACAAAGTACTTTGAGGCCTGCAAGCGAGTTTAGACTTTCCTTTTTCCTTCCCATAATCAACAGACTCCCCTGACATAACAGGCCTACCGCCAGCAAGCCTACACAGCTAACTCCAAAATAGCATCCAAATTGTGCATCGAGCATAAATAAGGACCTTTATAACCTCGCCCCAGTCGGCCGTCAATTAAACAATGACCTACGCAAGTTTTTTTCTTTCTTTTTTTTAAAGAGAAAAAAAAAAAGAAAAGCTGATTACTTTTTCAAAGCTGTGCAATGAAACAAACCATTAATAACTAAGAAAATTAATTGATCGGCTCTAAGCAATCAACAAACAGTCTAAGCAGCAGGGCTACTCTAGGTCCTACAGAAGCGATCCACTGACACAGCCTACTAGTCAACTTTCATCAGCTTTTTTGTTCTCAATCTGCTAAGGATTATTTCCTGCACCCCCCCCTCCAACTCCAAGACATGTGTTTGCACACGAAAAGCAAGGATAAAAGCACGCACCGACACTCATAAGTGCATCAGCTGTCATATATCACCCGGTGATAGACTATTTAATCTTTACGCTCAATTATTTGACACCTGTTCCAAAATTTATGGAGGCGAACAATTTCAGCCTCGGCTCAGACATGTTCAGAAAACTTTAAACTCAACAATTATAAAATATTTACACATGAGAATGTTAATTATCTCCTTTTTAAAAAAGCACTGGGAGTGAGTGATGCACTTGAAAAACTTGATGCGCTTACTCAATCTGGATTTGTTTACACGTCTTATACTGCGGCTACAGCTGACATGGAATTGCATGTAAGTGGATATGTAGCAAGCTGTTGACAAAATAGCTTTCATCGGCAACACAAACATCTCGTAATCTCAGATTTGTGACCAGCCTAAACCTGACAGCCATATTATTGATGTCACAGCACTTCGCTTTAAGGAGCATGCACCCACTGACATTACTGGAACTAGGCCTCATTTGATTTTAGGCATGTTTTTGTGTGACATGTGGGACACTCACCTGATGTAAAAAGCACGATGGCTTTGAGGCAGCTATACTCTGCCGAGTCTACGTGCAGGGTCTTAAGCTTCTCCACTTGCTCCTGGAAGATCCGGATGTGATCCATGAAAGCCACGACGCGGTCCGCGGACATCGGGGAGGCGTGGAGGCCCGCCGCGGCAAGCAGAGGGGCAACATGCAGAGGCATGGAACACTGGGCTGCGTTAAGCACAAACAACTCGCTCCACGTCAGCCTGAGAAGGGACACCTGGTCGGTGATCTGCAGGTCGGGAAAGAAAGGGATGTTTCTCGCCCACTCCACGGCGCTGAAGAGCAATCGAGCCGCCAGCTCGCAGATGTTCTCGATACCCATGATATTGTTGGGCTGCATGCACTGGCTCCCGTACCGGGACGTCGGGTAAGGCTCGGCCCGCAGCAATAACGAGATGTATCCGGACAGATAGCAATGGCCATTCAGAGGGTCCCCGTTCGTCAGTGCGTACTGGCCTGGGTTGGGCTGGGTTGGAGGCATTCGTCCTCGCTGAACCGCTGACAAAAAGAAAGAAAAAAAGAGGAAATGTGCATCCAGAACTGATAAAGATTGTTCATGAGTAGTACAACCATGATGCAAGCTGCAGCTTGTGTGCTTCTTCTCAGTGAAAGAAAAAGAACATGCACTGAAATAAAAAATTCAGCACGCTTTTCAAAACATATTGACTACTGTGCCCTGATCGTAAGACTGTAATATTTCACAGAAAATTATTCTATCAGAACAGATATGCTATGTCCCTCGTTCCTCACACTGCATTTGTATTTAGGGATGTAAAGTATATGAGGTTGAATGCAAATGAAAAATATATTCCCTTTTACACACAGCACACACACACACACACACGCGCACACATACACACACACACACACACACACACACGTATATTTCTTATCTAAAAGTCGATTTGACAATTTTGCTCCCTTTGATGTTTTGAGGCGTAATTGCATGGCACTTTTGCACTGTATTTACGTGGGGTCGTGTTTTGGAAAATAATTTTTAAAAGCGGCCAAACGTGTTCGAAATACGATTGATAATTACTGCTAAATGCAGGCACATTTGCACGTTTTGCCCACATCAAGCGCTCAGCTAGGATTAAAAGGAATCCCGCAATTGTTTAATATTAAAAAAAATAAAAAATTAATGCAAGTCGGTGTACATTATGCATGGGCTCGTAGTGTGTACTGCAAATAATAGGCTTAAACGGAGGGATGTCTACATAAATTGGAATCAAACACCTGACATAGAGAGCAAAGTTATAAGGCCTGTAATGCACCAAGCTAAACAAGGAGCCACGAACAACTTCAGCGACATTATTTAGTGTGTTTGAGCTGTCTAGTCAGCATAAGGAGCCAGAGAGACGTGGGTTTGTAGTGTGTTCGCCTCACATTCACGGAAACTCGGGCTACAAATCCTACTGTACAATTATAAATTAGTAAGCTGCAGATACTTGATGGTAAGGACTATTAGCCTTGCACACTGTACACATACACACACATACACATACTGTACACACTCACTGTACACACACACGCACACATACAGAGACAAACATAACAGGCACACACACATACACACATAGAAATCGGTCCTCTGGTCTAAAAGCTATACATAAGATGGGCTTGCTCGACTTTACGCCTTTGCTCGCAAAGAGCTCAGTTTAGCCTGTAAAGAAAAACACAAAATAAAGAGGGTCAGCTGGACGAGTCGCTTTGTTCAGGCGACCTGCATTCACAAGCATAGCTGCTGTGGCTGCACTGGCCTTTTTTTTAACCCCTCTCTCAGACTAACCATTCATGCAAACATCCCTCTCAAACATGGATGGAGACTGCAGTATGCCCAGCCATATAGCCTGTGACCTTAATGCAACATGGCAGCTCTGTTATTCTGCTACTAGGATGATGCGTAATCATGAGTTGGCTTAAAAAAAAATTATATATATATTCACCTTCCCGCCGCATCCCCACTTTTAAACACTTCTTCAGCCGACAGTATTGGCACTGATTTCGGTGGTGCTGGTCAATGGGACAGTTCCTATTGGCACGACATGAGTATGTTAAGTTCCTCCGTACACTCCTCTTGAAGAAACTTTTGCATCCCTCGCAGGTGAATTGGCCATAGTGTTTGCCGCTCGATTTGTCTCCGCAAACCACACATTCAATATGCTGCTGACTCTGTCCAGAATTTTGACTCCCCTTGTCCCCGGCCGTTCCCGGCGTGGACGGGGGTCCCGGCTGGCTGGGGGTCTGCGGAGTGTGCGGCGCCGCCGATGCCGCCTGCTGCTGCTCCCTTGCCGGCTGCGCTGCTGGGTTGGGGCCGCTCGGAGGTCCGGCCACGTCTTCCTGCGGATCTCGCCAAACGCTAACTACCATTGCCATATCTCGGCCCCGGAAAGTGCTATAAAGCGAAATGATCGCCGATGTTTATGAAGCGTAGAAGAGAAAAATGAGATCTCAAAAGACGGGGCAGTGCAAAGTCAAATCGGAGCACGCAATCTCATATGGGGTGAGAAGGAGAGTACAACGCGATCAATACATTCAAAATTCAGGAGTGCGATTGAATAGGCACCCGATCAGGATATGCAAGTATCGGGAGGCCAGTTCCAAGGTAAATTGCAGTCAGCCATTCAGGAATCCCTAATCTTGTAGGAAAACCCGAGTCCAGACGTAACAAATTGCAGTTTGATATAAAATAGCCACAAAGGGAAGGCAGGAGCGATTCACATGGACGCAGGAACGAGTGGAGAAAAAAAAGAAGCTTTTGCTGGAAAGACACGCGATCCAAAGTGCTGCGGAGATAAATTCCTTTTTCTTTTCTTCCCCGTGCTCCTTTACACTCCCGTCTTCGTCGTATAGGAGGGGAGGAAAAACTGAAGAGCTGGATTTTTACATCTATATTCTTAAATAAACCTCATCATCTCGCCAGGCAGCGAAAGAAAACCGTTTCGCCGAATGAAGTGCCCATGTATAGTTTCACCTTTCTCCAGCAGGAGGAATGGAGATACGAAGAGAAAAGATAAAAAAAGAAGAGGAAAAACACCAACAACTGATAGAATATGCAAGAAGAAGGAGAGACCCAAAAAATGAATGCGCTTAAACGGGAGGACCAGCAGAGCAATGTTTCCGAAACGGGGGATCTGCGCGAATGTCTGTATATAGTGAACTTTGACACTACTATTGAAACTGACACGTTTCTATGGAGATCGCTGCGCCTTATATGGTGCTCATGTCAAGGAGCCAAGAGAGGGGCTGCTGGAGACTGATAATCAAAGGCGACTGACTGGCCAGAGCCCTGCATAGAGGAGGAGGAGAGGAGGAGAAGGGGGGGAGGAGAGGGAGAGAGAAAATGGGAGGCTAAGGTTATAGCCAAGCCCTCTCTTTCTCTCTATTGGTTAGAGTCCCCCTCCGTTCATTCACTGCAAAAAGTGTCCATCCAAATAAGTCACCGGGTCTCCTGTTCAAATGTTCCAATGTTATTTTTGTTTTCTGAAAATGCAGAAAAAGACAAATAACTGTAGTTTATAGAATCCCCCTTGTTTCCGATCGCATTTTGAGTCGTTTTGGGGGTTATTTTAAGAGTCGATATGTTGACATCAAGACAACCGTGCGGGAGATCGGTTTAGTAATTAATAGTCGATGTTATGAATTTTACAGTGATGGATCGATTGGCATTAGGAACAAGTAGAAGCATCTCACCCCCTGGATGGAAGATTCAGTCTCCCGCTTCGGTTCCAGCACCGAATGACTGAGGTCTGAGGACGGACATTTTTTGCAGTGTTGCCATCAACGACTGGAGGGGCTGGGGGGGAGGGGGGGTGGTGGTGGGCTCTGACAGGCACAATTTACATTGAGCTCGCCCCGCGCTGCTATTTACTTTGAAACCTGATTAGTATGGGCCGTCTATTGTCACCAAAAAAGAGGAAGAAACCCTGGACAGAATAGCAAAAAAGCGGGGTAAAGGAAAGAGTGGACAAAGATTTTACGCACGACAAATAAACCCCCCAAAAAAAAAAAAAAAAAAAAAATGTACACAGCGGCAAAAGGGGGATTCTGCTTCAGAAATTCCCCGAAGTTTCTAAATGGTTTGTCTCGGACTGTTATCTTCATTATAGAATTAACGGATGTCATTAATGTTTTGCCATGGATTGATATTTTCACAGGCTGTTTTGTCCTTGGCATGCGCATTGCGGTACATCGTTGCCTGTAATCGGCACAGTCTCGCTGATTAAAACTTAACGTTTAGTTTAAACCAGTTAATAAGAGAAAGAAAATGTCAGTGGGAAGAATGATGCATAAAAGACAGTGTTATACAAACGGGATGCCTTGCCAGCGGCCGAAAATCTCTAAAATTAGACCGAGGAATGAGCAATATTCAATAATTACCAAGGTCCTATAGTCTCTACAATCACTGAGCCGGTGTCATATTATGTCTTAATAATGACAGTAATTCAAAATGTGAAGTTACTGACAATTTGCATGGGGATTCCGGCTTTTTTCTTGTACCAGGGTTTCTGCAGGCTTACTGCCTCTCCAACTCAAAAATGTCTGGATCGCGCTGCCATCTAGCGTACATTGTACAATTACAGCTTCATATAAATGCATCCATAACTCATCAGACATGCATTTTAAATCGCAAAAGATGATTTTAAAAATATAAAAGTCCGAACTTTGCCGCTGTTGTCTTTTATCCTTTGTGTATTTTTATTGACGAGGTTATGAAATGTACAACTGTTTTGTTGTTAGGGATGTATAACTTAAACAAACAAAAAACAAAACAAAACAAAAAAACACAACAAAAAACCCCACCAAACTTTCAGCGGACATAAAAAATACGTGTTATTACATCTGAATAAATATAGCGACAATAATACACTACACTCTTGATCGCACGGAATATAGATTGAACACAAACCCCCAAACCGTGTGCGTACATGTCCAAAAACATGGTAATACCGTGCTGAGACTCAGTAACTATGCATAATACGTATAATTGTTGTTTAATGAATTAAAGACGTTGTAAACAGAGCTTTAACCTCACCGAGATAATAGCAGACATAAAGGAGCGTTAATATGCAAGTGCCCCCTTTGTAAACGCATAGGAGGGATGGGTTGTTTTTTAAGTATTCAACAAGAGAGCTCTCTCTCCCGTCCCTGTCTCGGACACTCCACTGAAACTCCCCGGCCATATCTCTAGCTCTTTGAAAAGGTGAAACCAATAAGATTAAATCGGACAAAGATTTTTTTTTTCTTCTTCTGTAAGTGTATCATTAAGATTTAACTCTACAGATTGGAAAGGGTCTCCGCGGGAGAAGAGGAGAGGAGAGTGAGAGTGAGAGGGACAGCGAATGGGAGCAGGGTAGACGCTCTAATAGAATCTGGGAATCGGCAAGAGTAAAAAGGAGAAAGTGGACGTCAGGACATTAAAAGAAGAAGCGCCAGCGACGGTGGTTAACGGTAGCGGAGCAGCTTTCTACGTGGGCAAACCGGGCACCGATAAGGCAAGTGCACTATTTATTACTTCTTCTGCCATGCACACGCGTGCTTCTGAAAGCAAGGACAAAATTCTCTTGAGTCCCGCCACAGGAGCGTTTACTTTAAAGCGTGCAGAAGTCCGGGTCGTGTCAAAGTCACAACTTTTTAACTAGTGCACAGTCTCATTTCTCCCTCCACGATAAGGGCGACGGTAGACACTCGTTTCACGTTTTCCCCACTGATTTGTATATCTGATGCTAGTGATGTTAGTGCAGGCTGGTTGGAGTACAAATGGACACGAGAGCCCTTTTTTTTGACGTCCAGTGCACTTCACCTGCGAAGCTGTTTGTTGGTTGAACACATAATGAAAAGATCGATAACCGTCTGCTTGTCTCAGCGATAGTGTCACCGGATTAAAAGACTGATCAAGGAGACCAGGCGTTGCCCATCTTCTACACTCTTTCCCAAGTGCCAATTTAGCCAGGATATTACATGAGCATACATTATAGATTCAAAAAATAAATAAATGAATCAATAAAATCAAATAAAAATCAGCGCACCACTAAGAAGTCATTATGCGTCAGAAAATGTTGCTGAGAGGAAATTTAAAGCGACATGGAGTTTGCGTGTGTATATGTGTTTTTTTTCCCCATCAAAGCAGCATTATTGATGTGGAGGAAGTGCAGTGAAAAGTGATATAAAATAAACGATGTGCAACGTGGGCCAGGTTAATATATTCCAGGACAAAGCGCGTGCCAGACGGCTTTCTAAAATAACCTTACATAATAACATTTAACCTAATCCTCCCATGCTGAAATAAAGTTCATGCTAATTAATACTAAGTGAGCAAAGCAATATTTTTTCATGTCCTATACTTAAGGTTTCCACTTTTTAATTGGGTAGAAAAATACGGACGTCTCCATAAAATATGAACTTATTGGAAAAAAACATCTAAAGAATGACATAATCACATTAACAAAGGTGATTGATGCATTTGCGCATTATATAGCAGCAGTCCTACTTTGACTGCAATGCAACGGTTTGCTTTGCAACAGATTATTTGCGGTCTCGAAATAGAGAAGGCTGACATTTTCCATTGCAATAAAACTTGAATAAACCACAAATAGAATTTCTATGGCTGCTTAAATTTCCCTCGCATGGTAGTTTTGTCAAAGGACCTTATTAGATAAACATTTGTAAGAATGGGAAGCACATTGCAGTTTTGCCAAATCTGTGATCAATAATGCCCTCTGTACACAAATTCAGACTTTGTAAAGCTCACAAAATGCAACTTTAACGCAGCTGAAACCAACAAGCAGCACAATCAGTTGGGAAAACACTGAGGTCATAAGTGCAAGGCTCCCTAATAAAACACCAGATGACAACAGGAATGCATTTCAGAGCATTTAAAACGATGCAAACTGATGTAGGGGAAAAAAAACATTAGTAAAAAAAAGCGTCGAAGGTCTGTTTATTATTGATTGTGTGTATGTAATCACTTCAGAGTTTGTAACCGCAGTATATTCAATAAGACATTGTATTGGGCTTAGAGGCTGATTACCTTTTCCAGGGGCCTCAGCTCAAAACGCCTCCTGTGTACACAGGAGTGTTGTGTTTCTGCTTGCCGAGCTTAAGGGCCACATACAGCTGATCCCTGCGACGTCAACACCTGCGTGCTAAATTAAGACAATTAAACCATCAAAAAGGAATGAAGTGATGTTCTCCTTTATGCATGCAACTATAAGCAACATTTAATATCTCCCATGTTGCTCCCGAATGTTTATTATTTGAGTAACACACACTGATGAAAAGTCAAGTGGAGCACAGGATATAGCCACACCAAAGAAGTTTAAACCCCGCTTCTACGAAGTGTGAAAAAGTTTGTCACAGAAGTTATTTGTACTTTTTTTTTTAAACGACTTTTCATGTTCTAAACAGACCCTTGGTGCGCTTGTTACCCAGGGGAGATAATGATGTGTACCTCTTATATATAATACAGATATTCCCATATATAAATATATCTATATATCTATATCTATATCTCTCTATATAGATATATAAATATTTAATTAACTTTAATTAAAATGTGTTTACATTGGAATTGGAAAATTTGCATTTACATTTATCTGACCTTACTTACTAATGAAGGAGTCAAAAAACGACAAAAAAAGAAAGAGATAATACAGAATTTAGTCCTTTGCCAGTCTTTCAGTTTAATGTTTTGGGGATATATATATATACTATATGTTATACTATATGTTGGAAGTATAACTGACTTCCAACATATTAGTTTCTTCATGTTAACAGTAAACCTGTAGTGGTCCGTTGATTTGCCCTGTTTTAGTTGGGCAACAAAATGAAATTAGTTTTTGTAATTATGCTGAAGTAGTTAAATCTAAAATAACACGTCACGTGACCTCTTCAAAACAACTGAGACTTTGACTTGGTTTTTAAAGCAGCAGTCTGATTGCTACTCTGCACCCTTTTTTGTTTTTTCAACACCTTACTATGTTCTTGAAAAAATATATAAGAATTGTAAAAAATTACCTAAATGACATCTTTCTTACAAGTTATAATTAATAATATTGATTTAAAAAAAATAGAACTAATTCTCATGTTTAAACTGGTGATTTTGTTGCTCTGAGTGGTTGTGTGTTGAAAAGGGAGGGGTGGGTGAAGGGTATGGGTTGTTGGGGTGGGTGGGGGTGTTGAGGGGCTTCTTTTTGTCCAAAACTGATCCCCAAATTATTCTGGAGGCTCGGATTGGTGTGAAAGGGACGGGAAGGTCACTTGAAATCGCCTTTTATCCCATTGCCCCCCCCCCACCCCCCCACCCCCCCATGGATCAGCAACTTTCAATAGACAT